TGTGAAATCTGTCATAGTTTACAGTTGCTTGGAAAAAGGGGAGACAGACATAAAGCGTTATTCCCAAAGTTTCCCGTCTTCCAATAGAAAGTTCTTCCTCCAGCAGAAGGGGAAGTTTAAATGTAACCATACACACACACACACACACACACACACACACACAGTCACAGTATTGCAAGCGCATCTTTGCAGGTGACCTGACAGATAAGAATACCAAGCTTTCAGCATTTCCCCACCTTGCTTCCTCACACCCTTAACTGCCGTGACCACCTTCACCACCAGCAATAGCTCTGGCTTGAACAAGTTAATTAAAAACAGGCCCACACAACAGTAGAGCCCTTTAGCTTTCCAGCCAAAGGGGGAACAGGGAGGAGGAGGAACAAACTGAATCAAAGGCAGGTGAGAAAGAGGCACGACTACTCCTTTGAACCAGTGTTTGAGTCCCTGGTATGCTTGTATTTCAGTTTAATTGTAAAGATGGACTGAAGAATGCATTGATAGCTCTATTTTGATATTACATCTCCTCTTCCTCAGTCCTGGGTGGCACTCGGCTCTTTGCATTTACCCAGCTAAGAGTGTATCAGTTGTCATTATAGGAGCTTGGGTCCTGATTTTCCCCCCTCATACAACTTTAGAGAATGTACGTTTATAGAGGTAATCTTACATTTTGCTCAGGGCCTTCTTTACCTGGGGGTGGAAGGGGTGTGGGGCACCCGGGTGCCAGATTCTGGGGGGCGCCCACTGCTGAAGCCACCTAAGCTCTTAACTATCTACCTGTTACGAAATTTTGATCAAGCTAGAAAAACAAAATACATATATACCTAGGTATTACCGAAATACGGCAGCACTTGTCATTCACAATGGCTGCGCTTGACTCAACGACGGCACTTGTCATTCTCAATGGCGCCGTCATGCGAAATTAACTCTTACATCATAAGAGTTAATTTCAATAATAATAAAAGTTAATTTGGGGGCTAAGCTAAATTTGGGGGCGCTGGGTGGATCTTTGCACCGCGGCGGCGCATATGCTAAAGACTGTGCTGATTTTGCTACATCTGTTATGTAAGATCTGATTCCTAGTACAACTTGGCTTAGGTGAACGAAAACACATAGAACATTTTGCATACAGTGGTACCTTGAGTTACAGACACTTCAGGTTACAGACTCTTTAGATTACAGACTCTGCTAACCCAGAAATAGTACCTCGGGTTAAGAACTTTGCTTCAGGATGAGAACAGAAATTGCGGCGCGGCAGCAGCAGGAGGCCCCATTAGCTAAAGTGGTACCTCAGGTTAAGAACAGTTTCAGGTTAAGAACGGACCTCCAGAACGAATTAAGTTCGTAACCAGAGGTACCACTGTATTTTAGAAATGCAGTTCAGTGAAATCCCAAAGGAAATCCATCCCCTAACCCAACATAATTTATCCATTTTTTTAATATAAAAAATAGATACAAGGGGAGCAGGGGGTCTTGGACCTGGTGTAGACCTTCAGTTTGTATAAATATTTTATGGATGTACTTTTCCCTGGGACCACTAAGATGAACAAGCTAAAAATGCTCTAAATAAATGACATATAAATACCAGCAAAGATTTTTCAAAAATATCCTATAGCTGAAGCTGCAGCAACTGATTTTGGTGTTCCTTTCCTTGCCTGCTTTTCAGTAAGACAATACTAGACTTAATGAGGTGGGGATAACCCCTATTCAGTTCTTTCAAAGTTTTCATTTGTCAGACTTTTTTTAAAGGAGGTAAACCATCTGTAGATGTTTCGAATGTGGCAGTATAAAAAGATTTGGGGGTTTTGTGTGCAAAAAAGCAGCAGAATGCTTTCCCTGAGCTTTAATGCACTCCTGAAAGAGCATGGAAATACTGTGTTCTATACCAACTCAAAAGCTCAGCTCAGTCCCAGGAGGAATTGAGTCTCTGTTGGCTCACATTGTGCTACATTCCACTCTGTGTAAACACAAGAGCACAGAAATAGACGGACAAACTTAACAGCTTCTGGTGACAGGGTGAACAAAACATTCCAAAACCTCTAGCCTAGAGGTTTCTGCTATGGCATCTTCATCCCAAAGTGCAACTAAGAATCTTCAGAAATGGATAGTGAACAGCACTACCTTGGCTCTTTGCAGATACGGGATCCTTTTACTTCTAGTTGCCATGCCGCTGCGTTTGCTAGCTGAGCTCTTGCTTTGTTTAGAGAAACCAGGGTTTACATGCAAGGAAGTTCTCAGAATAGGACTCAGAATGCCACATTCTCCAGCATTCACCAACATTCTTATTTCATGCAATTTTGTAATTGAGAAGTAGAACTTGGTGCAAGCAGGAAGAGCTGAGATTTCAACTTAGGACAGTGTTTCTCACCCTGTGGGTCCCCAGATGTTGTTGGACTAAACTCCCATCATTCCTAGCCAGCATGACCAGTGGTCAGGGACGATGGGAGTTGTAGTCCAACAACATCTGGGGACCCACAGGTTCAGAACCACTGGATTAAGGGCACTGTTGGGCATTGCTGGGCACTTGAACAAGGACCCTCCCACTGCATGGTCATCATACTGTGAGTTATTGCTGCTTGGCATCACCACCTGTTTGCTCATGCAGCTTTTTCCTTCAGTGATAGAGGGAGCAAGCAAGTTGGACAAGGGAGAACATTTGTTGTCATCTGCTCATTCACTTATTGCCTGTTGCCTGGACAGGTGAGTAGGCAATGGTGGTTGGAGAGCAACAGAACGAGGGGATGGACATATAATCAATCTATACCCAACCTGAAATACTGTAATTTATTGAAAGTTTTTTGGGGGGCATATGTCAAAGAGTTCTCTCCTTCCCACTTATAACAATGTATAAGGATCCTCAGGGGAAAGGTTGAGATCCCTTGTCTGAGGAAATGAAGTTAAAATCAGGGTTTGGCAAAGAGGGGTTGGAGTCAGGATAGGCAAGAGGAAGAGAATCATGGTCGGGGCAGAGTTTGGCAGGATTTGACAGGGTGTGTACAGATTACTAGGAGCTCCAGGGTCAGTCACAAAACAATAGATACTACTTTGTGAAATGGACCACCTCTCCCAATAAGAACTGACCTGGACCCTGCAAGTATCATCTAAGGCCCTTCTTTGTGTGCCTCCTACATGACAAGTCCAGAGGGTGGCAACAAGAGAACTGGCCTTTTCCACAGTGGCTCCCCACTTGTGAAATGATCTCCTCGGGAAGTCTTACCTAGGTGCCTTTGCTTCATATCTTTAGGTGACGGGCAAAAATGTTTGGCTGATTAACATTTCATGGCCTTTTTAATATGTTAAAGATGCAGCACAGATGGTACCTCACCCCCTCAAGACTATCGAAGATGTATAAAAATTTAGCAAATACTTGTTGGAGCTGTGGTGGGAGCAATGGCAACATGCATCTTATGTGGTGCTCATGTAGGAAGATCAAAGTGTTCTGGGGCTTAATTTACGAGGAGTTGAAAAAAACGTTTGGAATAACTTTTTTAAAAAGACCAGAGGCATTTCTGTTAAGCATTGTTGGCAGGGACATCCTGAAGGCCTTTAGGGAAGTATTCTTATATGCAACGGCTGCAGCTCGGACTTTGGTGGCAAAGGGGTGAAAGGAACAAGAAGCCCCGACAATAACAGACTGGCATGACAAGCTACAAGAATTTTCTGAAATGGCGCAGTTAACAAATACCCTGAAAGGCAATTCAAAACAAAAAATTATGGAAAAGTGGGAGAGATATAAAACATACGTTCAAAAATACAGTAAAAGTTCGCTATCTATGCTAGCATTTGATTGACATTAGAGTGAGACTGAGCTGAGAAATAAGACTAAGAGAACATATTGATATAGGAATGTATTAGATAAAATGTAACGAAATATACAATAATAAGAGTATATTAATTTGTAAAAAAGGAATATACAACGGGATAGACAGGAAGTCTAGTGTGTTGGTATGTATATGATTTGGGGGGGGGATTTGTTTTTGTTTTTTCTTTGTTCTTTCTTTTTTTTGTTTCATTTTCTTTCTAGGTATATAAAATTTGTATATAATTTTTGTATACATGTTGGAAATTATATTATAGTAAGCCCTGTAATGTAATATGACAACGTTTACTGATGTAATATAAGAATGTTAACAAATAAATAAAATGCAAATTCAAAAAGGAAAGGAAAAAAAGAAAAGTGATGCTGCATAAATCTAACAGGACCCAGTACAGAATACAAACCTAGAATTACAGAATCGTGGAACTGGGGGCCACACCAAGGCCATCTAGCCCAACCCCCTGCAATGCAGGAATCACAGTTGAAGAGTCCCTGACAGATGCCCCCCAACTTGCTCTGCTTCAGGACCCTTTGCCTATTGCTTCATTACAGAGGCCAGAATTTTGCTTCCTCTCATATTCAAGATTTTTTTACTTGCATTATTGTATATAAAACAGGGACTTTCCGTATTGTCTTCTAAACGGATAAATTGATTGTTGGTCCTGTGGAGAAGTTAGCTTGCTTGTCTTCAGGGTAAATGACTTAAGAGGAATATTCATAGGAAACTGCCTTGGACAGAGTCAGACATTGACCCATCCACCTCAGCATCGTCTAAACTGACCGGGTTTCAGACCGGGGACATTCCCTGCCCCAGCTGGAGATGTAATCCAGGATTATCTATGAGGATGATGATAATGCAAAGCAGATTGTCTAATCCTGTACTATGGACACCCCTAGACTTGGGAGTCTTTTACTGCATTTCAAGGGATGTTAGGATTGCCTCCCTTTGGAAATGGGGCTGAATGAAGAATGATCCAATATAGAAACATGAACTCCAAAGGAGAAGATTCGCCTGCTGACGGAACAGCAGGCGCTTGAAAGTTCTGAAGAAACATGGGGGGGGAGGGCAAGTTGGGCCCAGGGTCAAGGTGGGTAGGTTGCCATGGTAACAATGGCCTGCCGTCCTTTGTGACATCTCCTGCTTTTCCCTTAAAAGCCACCAACTACAGGTGTCCATTGTGGGTTAGTGAGGAGAGACAGAGACAGGTGTGTAGGTGCGGTAAGAGAGAAAGCAGAGGATTTGAATTTTCTTCTGATTTTGACTGCTTAAAGAGGAGGCGGAGCCAGCATCAATCATGCGGTCCATTCCAGACCTTCAGGAAGAAGGAAGGTTCAGTGGACTTCTTCTTCGTGGAACAGAGTGCTCGCCTCCAGGCCAGGAGAGGCGAGTCACCAGAGGATCGTGGCCGCCCTATGCCTCGGGGCAGATAAAAGCTGGCCAGCCCCAGTCCCAAGTTGTGGGAGCAACATTGCTGGTTGCTAGTTCCTGCCTGAACCTGTCCTGCTTTCCTGCCTGAGCTCCTGACCCGCCCTGGTTCCCTGCTTGCAAGCCTGTTCCTGACTTCACCCGACTCCCTGCCCTGCACCCGGACTTGCACCTCGCCTCTCGGGTAACCCACAGGACCAACACAACGAGGAAGGAGGGAGAAAGGATTGAAGAGAAGTGAAAATGGCGGGGACAAAAGGCTGACTGCTGACTCACCCTTACTGTGCGAGGAAGAAACCAGAAACAATGGAAAAAAATTAGGCCCTTTGGGGGATGATGTCTATTTCTTTTTGTGTATCTTGTTGGTGCGTAAGCATAAATAAAGCAAAAACAATATGTTTGTCGGGCTGTTGTTTTTTTGTGGTTGTTGTTTCTGTATTCTCATTTTATATTGTTACGTTGTGAACCGCCCTGTGATCTTTGGATGAAGGGTGGTATAGAAATTTAACAATGAATGGATGAATGAATGAATGCTCTCCCCAGGGAAATATTTATGGCACCCACACTGTCAGCCTCAGACACCAGGCTGAGAAACATGTTTAGGTAGGCTTTTGGTGAATTGACTGTGATTGCATGAAGTCTGTTTTCCATTTCTCTTAGCTGAGAGGGTTAGGCTGTGTACTTTTTACAACATTGCTGGATGGGCACCTCCTAGATGAAATCTGTTTGTTTGTTTGTTTTTATTGTAATTTTTGATGTGTTTGCTTTTGAATATTTGTAAGCTTTTTGTGTATTATAAAAAAAGCTTTGAGACTTCTTGTGAGGAAAGCCACAAGTGAAATTAATAATAACTATACTATTAATAATATTTGTAAGGTTGAGTCTAAAGATGGCAACCTTTTCTTCTCTCTTGACACCTTTTTCTGTGTGTGATTTGCTTTACTAGGTTGAAAGCCTGCTTGTAGGGCCAGGTCTGCTTTCATTTTTGGATGTTCAGGACAGTGCACTGGGTAATGATGGTGTTGCTTTTCAGTCCCTAGTATGGGCTACCTGCCAGAATGTGGTTTTTATTAGTCAAAATAACAGAAGAATAGCCAGTGAGTGATCCTCTGGCCTTTCTCCCTACACCAGTTTGAAATTGTAACTGCACTGTTGTGCTCTGAGACTATTGAAATTCTATCTCATATTGCAACTTCTGCAAGAAAACAAAATATTAAACATTCTCTCAAGTGTACAGCTAGACAAAATATGTGTTAAATCTTCATACAAATTGGCAGGTGGGCGCAGTTTTAAATTACACAAATTAAGCAAAAAGTTTAGGTTCCCCTGCCCCCCTCCGTGTGCTTTCTGAAGACTGCAGATTACAGCATAAGTTTCGCAAAATAATACATCAGAAATAATACGTGATAATACTGCCTTCTTTTTGGAGTGTGCTTTCCTTGAAGGCACTTTTGAGTCGGTGTCACAATGCTTCCAGGAGAGCATAACAGGTTAGTGTGTAAAATCCTCAAGACAGTGCTTCCTCACAGTTCCTTTCAGCTAAATGTTTGTGCAGTTAAAGTAGCAAATACCAGTATCTTCAGTATACAATGGTCATAGTGGGCAAAGTAAATTACTTAATCGTCTTAACTGTATCCTACTGGTTTTCATCTCACTCATTAAGCTAGGTGACTTTATTTTTTCTGGTAGGCCTCATGTGCTTTTAACAGTTTTCTGACAAGCAGACATCTGCCCAGTGAACCTTTTTTTTTTTTTTTTAATCACTGCATCTCAGTGCCAGAGAAAAGCCTCAGCTGCTAAATTTCTGTCTGTCAGGAAAGTGTTAATGGCACAGGAGCCCTGTCAGAAGAATGGAAGCAGGCATAAAGAATAAGTTGAGCATCCACAGCATATGGTTAAGATGTTTGAAGTCATTATTTTTATGAAGTTTCAAAAAAATACAGTGGTACCTCGGGTTAAGAACTTAATTCAGAGGTCCGTTCTTAACCTGAAACTGTTCTTAACCTGAGATACCACTTTAGTTAATGGGGCCTCCTGCTGCCACCACACTGCTGCCAATCGATTTCTGTTCTCATCCTGAAGCAAAGTTCTTAACCTGAGGTACTATTTCTGGGTTAGCGGAGCCTGTAACCTGAAGCGTCTCTAACCCAAGGTACCACTGTAAATAATAATATCTGTACATGGTACAAATTTCAAGAGTTTACAGCACTTGCTGCTTTCTTAAGAATACAGCTGTTCCATACACTTCCAGAGCAACGACTTGTAGCCCATCAGGGATGCTCAGATCTTATGAAATAAACTCCATACCTGGCAAAGGTATTGCAGAATTAACATACTCTTCTGATGCCTAAGACCATCCTTCCCTGCCCCAGTGTTGATGGTTGGAGAGGGGTTTAGGATGCAGTATTGTTGCCTCTGCCAGCCTCCATTGACTGAGATTAGCGCTGGTGATATGGGAGCTCCACTGTGGCAATAATCTTCCACTTGCAATAGTCAGTGGAAAGCTCCAAAAGGAAGCATTCAAGGACAGGGCACCAGTATGTGCCTTGGCCAGCAGTGATAGCAGTTTGAAAAAACTGTACGTGCCAGATATATGTAACATTGCGATGGGCTCATGTTTCCAATACTGTTTTCTCACTTCCCCAATCAAACTGAAGAATACATGTTTGTTGTTGCAAGCAAGAGAAAATGACATAGATAACATACATGGTTGAAGAATATTGATAAAGAGCTACTGTGTGTGCTGGTTTCAAGGCCTTGTAGAAACCACAATGGGGATGTTTCAGATATCTGAAACTTGCAAATGTCCTTTCTGTAGAACTGCCTGTACTGAGTTTGTATCCTTTGTTACACACTGAAAAAGCCTTGTACATTCATTGTTTTGTTCCCTTTGGTCTTAACAGTAGTAAGTCGAGGCCTAGGCAAACAGTTTTTCTGAAACCACTAAACGAAAATACAGTTCAAATGAACCCAAGCTGGCCTTGGATATTATTTTTTTAAAGCCTTTGTTCTAATGCAGGGTAATAAATATCACTAATTGATATTAGATTAATATCTGCTATGATGGTTTATTTTGTTCAATTAACTAGCACAAAATCTAGAATCTAATGTTAATTTTCTTCTTAACTATAAGGATTTTGGTCAATATATTGAAAAATTGCACAGTGCTAAAACAGACCAGTACATGACCAGTACTAATTAACTGATCAGGAATAGGTCTGAATAGCCTGTGTTCTGGTATTTGCAGCCAATCTGGACATTATGTTAAATATATTTAAAAAAATTAAAAAATGTCCAGTAGCACCTTAGAGACCAACTAAGTTTGTTCTTGGTTTGAGCTTTCGTGTGCATGCACACACAGAAGCTCATACCAAGAACAAACTTAAAGGTAAAGGGACCCCTGACCATTAGGTCCAGCTGTGGCCGACTCTGGGGTTGCGGCGCTCATCTCGCTTTATTGGACGAGGGAGCCGGCGTACAGCTTCCGGGTCATGTGGCCAGCATGACTAAGCTGCTTCTGGCGAGCCAGAGCAGCACACGGAAATGCCGTTTACCTTCCTGCTAGAGTGGTACCTATTTATCTACTTGCACTTTGACGTGCTTTCGAACTGCTAGGTTGGCAGGAGCAAGGACCGAGCAACGGGAGCTCACCCCGTCGCGGGGATTCGAACTGCCGACCTTCTGATCGGCAAGTCCTAGGCTCTGTGGTTTAACCCACAGCGCCACCTGCGTCCTGTCTCTAAGGTGCTACTGGACATTATATATATATATATATATATATATATATATATATATATATGTATTTCTACTGCATCAGGCCAACACGGCTACCTACCTGAATCTAGAATTATGTTAAATGCATGCTTTCAAAAATGCACATGGTATCTACTAGGGGAAGAGGCTAATAATTATCATGATCACAGTAGGCAGGAACAGAAGATGTAACCCGTTTCTCCTGTGCTGTGGTACTGAAGAAAATGATTTCTACTGCAGCAGTTAGGTTGCGTTAGAAGGTAAACGAATATTGGCACCACTGGATGATTTCCTCTCGGTTAAAACAGCAGCTTCAGGGAATGAATTTCCCTCAGAATTGCAGCAGAGGAGGAAAAGATCAGTTTCCCCCTTTGAATGAAACATTCATTTTTTAAAGCATGCACGTTAAATGCAAAGTAGAAGCATGCACATTTAAATACATGTGAAATGTAGTTTGGCCCTTAGTGTCTTGGCTGATTTAAACTCAGGCAGTCCTCTCTTAAGATTGGTCTTTTTTTCCTTTAGAAACTGACTGCCATCTTTAAGGAAATGTAAAGCGCTGGGAATAGCACAATGGAAAACAACGCAACCCGTTTCCAGTACTTAACAAATCTTTAAAGATTGTTGTTTCTAATAACAGAAGCAACTTAAGTTTATGAGAAAAGTATCTGAGCTTCCGTCTGCCATTTCCAACATATGGAAGCATTGGTCCCTAATCCTAGATGTGTTGGAGTTGACTATATTCAGTGAGTGAGATGCACTGTGATATGCCCAGAGGCACTCTTTATTATTCAGATATGTATTTCAGTGCTGAATCCTCACATAAGAAAAAAAACCCTCTAGGTTTGAACCCAAACACAAGCCTTGATTAAAGACTATTTCTAAGTTTGTTTTTAAAAGGTGAGACACACCAGGGATTTAATTTGACAAGTGAATGCAATTAATCCAGGAAATGTTGAAATGGAATTATTCAGACTCAATTGCAGCGAATCTTCAGCTATCTATAAATTTTGAACACACTTTTTTTTCATTCTGACATTATTTCATAATAGGAGAAGTCAAAAATGTACCAATGGAAAAGGAAAATAAAATAAGATATGTACATATTATATCAGAAAAACCTAATGTTCTGGTTCATAGAAATGTAACTTCTAAAGCGTCTTGTCATTGTTAATTTATCAAGTAGCTGTTGCACCAGCATGCAAATAAGTTACTATTCTATAGTGCAGGTATATTCATATTTCCATCTGAATTTTCTTTGCTCATTGTGAAGCCATTATCTCAATTCAGCTAGATGCCTTTTAGGGCTATTTCTGCTAATTGTCCAGGGCTGTTAGCTTCCTGTTGCTCTCATTAATTTCTTAAGGAATCAATGAAAATCGGTATTTTCATTCTTATGTGGAGAAAACAAGGATGTATCCTACATACATTTATTGCCCAGGCCTAATGTCTAACCATGAGTTTTAGTATTGATTCAAAATACAGTAGTCAATGTGCCATTACTGAACATCTGAATTATAATAAAATATTGAGTAATCTTGAATATAACCATCAGATTGGAGACTTGGGAGTCTTCTACTGCATTTCAAGGGATGTTGGGATTGTCTCCCTTTGGAAATGGGGCTGCATGAAGAATGATCCAATATAGAAACATGAACTCCAAAAGAGAAGATTCACCTGCAGACAGAAGAGCAGGTGCTTCAAAGTTCTGAAGAAACATTGGGGAGGGCAAGTTGGGCCCAGGATCAAGGTGGGTGGGTTGCCATGGTAACAATGGCCTGCCCTCCTTTGTGACATCTCCTGCTTCTCCCTTAAAAGCCACCAACTACAGGTGTCCATTGTGGGTTAGTGAGGAGAGACAAAGAGAGGTGTGTAGGTGCGGTAAGAGAGAAAGCAGAGGATTTGGATTTTCTTCTGATTTTGACTACTTAAAGAGGAGGCGGAGCCAGCATCAAACATGCGGTCAGTTCCAGACCTTCAGGAAGAAGAAGGAAGGTTCAGCGGACTTGTACGTCATGGAACAGAGTGGCTCAGATGACTGAGAAGCGCAATGCAGCTCAAAAAGAGCAACAAAGTGGCCCCGCTCCAGCCCAAGGAGCAGCCTCCTGTGGCACCACTTGTGACAAAGCTCTTCAAGAGCTTTCCAGAGCTCGAGAAGGCACTAGCCCGAAACCGGGCCCGTATTAGACCAGCACCTGAAGAGGACATAACTGTAGAAGATCTGGAATGAGTGTCCGGCGTGACGGGTCAAGGGAAGGCGCTCTGTTTTGCAAAAGTTAAAAGGGAGTAAGGGAAGAATGAGGGTGATGAGATCAAGGTAACCCTCCAGCCTCTCCTGAGCTGCAGAGGCTCAGGGCAGAGAGGCGGAAGGAACTAAGTTCCCGCAGGAGAAGTGCTTGTCTCCAGACCAGGAGAGGCAAGTCACCAGAGGATCGTGGCCGCCCTATGCCTCAGGGCAGATAAAAGCCGGCCAGCCCCAGTCCCAAGTTGTGGGAGCAACATTGTTGGTTGCTAGTTCCTGCCTGAACCTGTCCTGATTTCCTGCCTGAGCTCCTGACCCGCCCTGGTTCCCTGCTTGCAAGCCTGTTCCTGACTTCACACGACTCCCTGCCCTGCACCCAGCTTCAGCTACTATGGACTGCCTCCACGTTGCACCTTTGACCACTTGGACTTAGCTGATTCCCCCCCCCCCTTGATGGAACACCATATTTTCTGAAACCCAAATAAAAAATGGTTAAATTACTCAGCTCAGTGGAAGAGCACCTTCTTTGCATTCTCTGGTAGGTTTTGGCAATATTCCTGGGGAACTGCTGCTAATTAGTGTCAGCAACACCATTGAGCTGCTTGGGATTTGGTGGATTTCTAGGTCCATAGGTATGTTGTGTTTCAGTGCTGGGGGGTTTTCTGTGGGCGCTCGGCGGAATTAGCTTTGAATTCATTCAACATTTGCATGTTAAGGCCCCAGAACACCCCTCCCCCCCCCCCCAGAATAATAAAGACACATTGACACAAATATTTTAGTTTAAATGTTAATGGGCAAATTTAGGCCACAACTTTTTTGAATACAGAATGTGAGTGGTATTGGCTTAGGCACTGGCAAATCTATATCTGACTCCTGCCCACCTCGCAGGGAGTCTGGAAGGGTAAACCACCAAAAGAGGGAGCTCCGTCGATGGCAACCAACTGAAGCTCACCCTGGGGTTCCCGGTGGGTCCCGGCATTCCCCTAGCTCCTCAAGCAGACTTTGGACGAGATCCAGACCCATGGATTCCTTTAACAGAATACCCTTGTACCTGGAGGGGCAGGTAAGGGCTGCACCTCCCCTCCCCCACATCTCACTAAGCCATTGCCTAACTGCCAAACCTTACAAAGTTGTGATGATTGCTAAGAGGTAGGCGAAAACCAAATGGCCAGTGTCAGTCTGCCAAGTGGAAAAAATTCCTATCCGCCCCCTGTTCCAAAACAGGGGACCAACCAAAGTCCAGAGCAAGGCCAAAGCAAAACCTAAGAAAGGCTGGGTGGGCGGGTGTTCAGCGGCGCAAAGCCAGGTAAGGCCCCAACAACACGCCGCCACTTATATAGCCACCCCCCCATCACACCACCTCTCCCCTCAATTTGAAGATAAGGACAAAGAGGCCAGCTTATGTGGCTCATTTCTCTAAAATGTACTAGAGTAGCACGGGACTGGGCCATAAGCAAAAAGCTGCCATGCGGCCCTGGTGATGTAACAGTTGGGTCTGGGAAGACAGGAATTAAGCTTAATTGTTACATCAGCATATACACACTAAGCTGGGACTAAGTTCCACTGAACATAGTGGGGCTCAGTTCTGAATAAACGTACATAGGACTACTTACCTTTTCCGTTCTAAGACATGTTTACATGCTTCACTGTTATACAGCACACTAAGTTTGGCTCTTTATCATGCAGACATCATTAAAAATGTGAAATGAGAAGAAAAAAAATTATTCTGTGCTCTAACACTTAAACTCCAGAGGTGACCTGGCTGGAAAACAGATGTGGAATGGCTACAAAGTGAAGCATTTGACATTTTCTGCACTATTATCGAGCAGTTTTCAAAGTATTTCTGTTTTCGTGTTGAAAATGTCATCTCTTCAAGGTTGACATTTCTGACATTAACACTTAGGAAGAAACTGTGTACTTTTAATTTTTCAAAGAACAATATCTGCTGATCACAGCCACTTTAAACATTTAGCTTTGTATAATTATCCCAGTCTGTGCTACCTGATTGTGAACATTTGCCCCACTTAACCCGCCTCCAGTGCCACCATTATGACCCCTGCAGAGTCATGGCTGTCATGCTGGTATCGCTGTTGAGGATGGTCTATTCGGGAAAATATAGTTTTGTGAAATAAAAATAAGAAGTAAAATAACAGACCATAGCCGAAGTTTCCATATATTGTCGTAGCAAATCTTATAGTTAGACCGATGGCACTGATCAGGAACTTCCCAGCTTCTGCCCACCTATCAGTTCAAAGCACATCAAAGTGCAAGTAGATAAATAGGTACCACTCCGGTGGGAAGGTAAACGGCGTTTCCATGCACTGCTCTGGTTCGCCAGAGGCGGCTTAGTCATGCTGGCCACATGACCTGGAAGCTGTATGCCGGCTCCCTCGGCCTATAGAGCGAGATGAGTGCCACAACCCCAGAGTTGTCCACAACGGGACCTAACGGTCAGGGGTACCTTTACCTATGTTTCATTACTGGATTAGATTGTCCTGCCCCCTTCTCTTAAAACCATCATCTATTTTAAGCCAGTCTTAATTGCTTTAAGAACAAAGGAAAAGTGTTAGTGGACTACTCCAAGTGTTTCATGCTGCTCCAACACAGCCAACTTTCTATATGTCACACTAGGTCACCTCATGCAATCTCAGATGTGGCAGATTCAGTGGAGGTTAACTTGCCGCCTCAGTAAACAGGAACCTGGCTTGGAGGTCCCCAAGGGATGGAAACTGTAGATAGCCCAGTTAGGAGAAAGGAGATTGATAACCATCTCATGCATGGCCTGTGCTGCAACAACAGCCTGCATTTCCTATATCTGATTGCTCCTAAGCCTAATACAGTGAACCCAAACTAACAAACCTAGTAGCATTCTGCCACACACTGGAGACTTGTGGGGCATATAGACACTGTTTGCAGCTTTGCCCTGCTTTGCCGTTCACTAAATCTGATGTATTATCGATCTCTTCACATTCATACAAAGACTGTTTTCTGGTCTGAAAATCTCAGTGGGAAGCTGATGAGAGAGACTCAGGCAATTGTAAGTGGAAGTAGAACTTTTTTTTAAGTTCTAAAGCACCTCTTAAAGTGAAAATAAGGTTTGCAGCAGCCCCCTCCCCAACATTTCAGAGATCCACGCCCGCCCACTCAAATCTTTTGGGGAGGAGGTGTCATTTTGTCACCACCCATACAATTAACATTCAAAAAAAGACTTCTTCTTTTTTTGCAACTTTCATCTCACCAAAGTCTGCTCAGAATGGAGAGACTTAACTGGATGCAACCCAGCAGTCTTTATTGCCTTGTTAACTAATACAGCACCTTTCTTGCTCTAACTTCAGCAACTCTTGAGTGCTCCAGAGAATTTAATTCTTTATCAAGTTTCTTGACTGAGAGCAAGGTACACATTCCTACTGAGTGGCTATATATCATTTAGTCCTCTCAGTGAAAAACAGCCATTTCGGCAAGATTTAAAATTAAAGAAGTCATGGATTCAGGAACTTTGTAGGCCTCCCCTTTGTCCATAATGGATAAGAAAAAATGACTTTCTGATCTAGATGGAAGCACTAAAAATAGTGCTTTGTGCAATGGAAATTGTATAGTTATATATCTCCTTCCTCTGACTGACACATTCAATTAGCTTGTCAGTTCTTGGTAGTAGATAATTCATCGATGAAAGCTTTATATTGGCCATGAGACTTTTTTTCTTTTCTTTTGCTTTTGTGTACCTGTAAAAATATTAATAGTTTCCAGACCAATTAATATGTTCAAGTGCAAGATACACACATACATATCCTGTGGAACAAAAAACCGAAACTGCGCCATTGGAAGAATATAGCTATAATAATATTGAAACATAATTATTCCTAACAAGGTAGTTGATAGTGATGTTGCATGCAATATAAAAATGAGTAAAGATGTGCCACACTATTCATCTGCCTAGATCTGAATCAAGGACTGCAGTGATGAAAAATACTTTCAGAATCTCATTCGGTTCTTAAGTTCCCTTCCCGAATTTCTTGTGAGCATTTATTTCTTTGCTGCAGATGGATATGTTTCAGCAGGGTGTAGGATTTATGGGGCTGCATTCTTGGGCTGTATTAATAAGGACCTTTGAGAAATCTGCAAAGTATTTGAAAAATAACAGTTCTATTTCAACTTTTGATGTTCATTAACTTGGAGCGCTTCCATCATATAGAAAATGGCATCAGAACTAATGTATAATAAGAGAGGAGTCCCCCCCAGGATACTTGTCATCAGGTTATTCATTAGCTGCCTTTTTACAGAAGTTGCATGTACTCTACATGCTGCACTAAACAAAAGGGGTATTAAAAAGCAATTAAATAGGGCAATCTTAGGTTTTAGAACTCCATTTTTTTAAACTCTTCTCACTGTTCCAACAATTGGAAACATTTTAAGTTAGAATTTAATGTGTACTTAGTACGTGGTTATAACTACAGCAACTAAACAGGGTTTAAAAAATAAAATAAATAAAGCATAGGGTGAAGGGGTCCAAAGATGGTTAAAAATCCTTGACCAAAACCCTATCAGATCCTTTTTAGAAGGATTGGACTGAGAGTGGAGGAGAGCTCTTGCACCCCTCCTTCCTTCCTTCCTTCCTTCCTTCCTTTTTTACAAAATTCATCCCATCGGACACGTGTTGGAACATAGGAAGAGTCTTGTTGGACTCTGCCAAAAGCACGTATGTTCTAGCACTTTGTTCTCACAGTGGCCAACCAGATGCCTATGAGAAGTCCCCAAGCAGAACCTGAACACAACAGCACTCTGTGTATGAAGATAGGCTTGGAAACATTCATAAATTCCAGATGAAACTTCAAAAGCAAGAGGCTCAGTGAGACTTAGTTGTCAGGAGGAAGAGCTTCTGTCCTTTGCTTTTCCCCATGACTAACAGCATCATAATAAATTGTAATTAATGCCAGTTATGGTAGTCAGCTTTCTTTGGTGTGTATATATATACAGGGTGAGTCCTTTAAAAGAGGCCCCGTGGATACAGAGTGCACATGTTCCATGGGGCCTCTTTTAAAAGACTCACCGTGTGTGTGTGTAGGACTGGTTAGCAGCACATAAATATATTAAAACATGTCCTTACTACTCATCAGCCATTACTATCCTGATTGAGCCTTTGACAAAAAAAATGCATATAATGTCCCAAATATGAGTAGAACTGACCTAAATTTAAGAAACAGTAGAGTTAGCCACCATATATATCTCAAACAAATTACTGAACTGAGTTGCATAGTAAAAGCAAAAGCAGAAGAACTCTAGTCAATGTTCTTGAATTCATCAATATTGTCTAGGAGTTATTGCTACATTGCAGACCACATTCCTTTAAACTGATCTGCAGTCTCTCTCTCTCCCCTTCTAAGTATCCTCACACTTACTCAACTGTAAGAACTGTTGCCTTTCACTTTTTTGTACGGTACTCAAAGAGTTAACAAGAAACCGAACATCTGTACTTTTTTGATCTATGGAT